CTAAGGCCGACATCTTTTGTCCCAAACAAATCCTAAACCTCAACACCATTGCACCTATCTCTCCCATACCCCCTACCTATCGTAGTGCTCTCAAAGACCCTAACTGGTACAATGCTATGCTAGATGAATATAATGCCTTGATAGCTAATCATACATGGGATCTTGTACCCCCCCCTCCCCCGACCAAAATGCACTACTACAAAAACTGGCAAATGCATCGGTTATTTTAGGCCAATTGCATCAGTTTTTTTCCGATGCTAATGCACACGATGTAAAAGGTCCGGATCAATTGCATCGGTTTTCATAACCGATGCAATTGCTATCAATTGCATCGGTTTTAATTACCCCTGCGGTGCACAGTTTTAATTTTTCTTTTAATAAATGGAGCAAATGCATCAGTTATTAAGTAATAACCAATGCCATTGATAGCCAATTGCATCGGCTATTACTTAACAACCGATGCATTTGCTCCATTATATTAAAAAAAAATAAATCTACTTCAGGTAGTAAGAACTGAAGCGCAATACACAAGTGCCTGGATGCTTCGATTGAAGGAACAGAAGGAGCAAAAAGACCATCAAATTGAAGAAGCCATAATAACAAAAGGAAAAAACATCTCTGAAATATATTTCAACTAAAATTGAAGAATAATTACAAACCAAAGAAGAATTATGGAATCAATTTTGAAGAAAAAATACATATCCTGTTAGAATAATAGACCAACGCTAGAGGTGGGTGAATAGCGTTTGATCAAAGAAATCGCAGGAATTAAAAATTAAAAGATAAGTAAAGAGAAGAGTAAGGGGCACACCAAATTTTACCCTGGTTCACCACAACTTTTGGCTAATCCAGCCTCCCGAGAGACTCTCTCGAGCTACACTACTATCTCGTTAAGCTTAACGATGCTTAACAAACCCTTACAACTTGGGAGTTCGAGTCACACGAACCTCAACGAATTCTTCAAAGGAAACAACCCTTCCTTTGAATCAAACGAGAGAAATACTTTCTCTCAACGTGTCTAAGAACACAATTTCACTCAAGAACGAGACTCTCTTATAGAGTAGATAATGAGTAAACTAAGTACGCTCAAGAACAACTCAACCTTCACACAAAATGGCTCTAAAAAGCTAAGGAAAAGAATGTTGTTTGAATGCAATGAAAGTAGGAGAATTGTGAAGTGAATTGATTTGTAAAGCAGACCCAAACACCCCTTTTTATAGTGCCAAAATAGGCTCCAACGGACCAATGCATTAAAGGGGTGATTTGCTTGATTTATGGGGTTGATTAAAAATAGGATCTGTAGGATATTGGCTTCCCATCGATGTTTGGACTCAACCATCACTGGTAAGCCAATTTTCCTTCAGTTTTGAAGCCAACGGTTACCTACCCATCGATGGGTACAAGCTTCCCATCGCTGGGTGGGAGGTTGACTTCCAAACAAGGAAAGAATCAACCTTAAATGACTTCCAACGGTCATGTCTTCCCATCGATGGTTTATCCTTACCATCGCTGGGTACCCATCGATGGGATAGGTTTCCCATCACTGGGCAAGGTTGTTCTGCCTTGTGTTAATGTTGCACCAAGGCTTTAACAGCGATGGGTAGAACATCCCATCGCTGTTTGGCATGGTTCTGGAAGTTGGTTTGGCTAAGGGACCGCTTACCCATCGATGGGAAGATCTTCCCATCGCTGGGTGGGTGGTTAGCCAAAAACCATGGTCTTTGCCTTAACCACGGCCTAGCCAACCGATGCAAAAACCGACCGAAAAATCCAAAGTTCTCCAAAATAAAAACCAAGTGTTTAAAACACTTATTTGATGTATTTTGCTAAGAAATCAAGTGAGTTACTTTAAAAACCACGTCATTTGAGTAAAAACCAAGGCTAGCCAAGTTTACGCCGTTTTGCGTGGTTTTTGTCAAACGACCAAAAGCGAAAGATGGTTTTCAAAGTGTTTTTTGTTGGAGAACCGTTTAAACATTCCAAAGAGTGAAAACCAATCATAAAAAGTTGAAAACCACTTGGTTGGTTCGGACGCCAAAAACCAATGCCGATAACCGAAGGCCGAACGCCGGTTTCTGAAAGCCGAACACTGGATGGCTTGGTTTTTGGTTTGGGCGAACACCAAGTGTTTTTAATGAATTAAACAAGTTTGAAAAACATTTTTATGAAGTAAGAAATGCAATGAAGGATTTTAGCCTAAAGAGCCAAGGTGTAAAGATTGGATCGGTCTTGATCACAATAAAGACCGACTCAACGATGCTAAGATTAAGGTCTTCGTTCTTGGTCTTTGTTTAGCTCTTGTTCTTGTCTTCATTCTTCGCCTTGTATATTCAATGTTTGACTTGATCACGACGGTTTTGCATTATCAAAACCTGTCATAAACAAACACGGCTTTAGTACGAAAACGTGACAAACCCGTGTTTCAACAATTTCCCCCTTTTTGATAATGGCAAACGAGATGAGGTTATGCATATGAGGAAGGCTTTGAGACTTAAAAAATGTTCCCCCTTAATAGATGCCATTTGAAAAAAAATTCCCCCTCAATTTATGCCTAACCTTGATATCTTCCCCCTTTTGACATTAACAAAAAGAATTAAAAGTGAACTTTAGAATTTAAACGTGAACTTTTATTCATTAAAAGAGGAGAAAATGCGGAATACAACGGAATTGAGATAAAAAAACATGCAATCAAAGTAGAGAAAGGAGAGAAGAAAGAGTCTAGGCATCGGCGTCCTCGTCATCCTCGTCGTCCTCGACGTCCATGAAATCCCCGTCGACCGCATCCTCAAAGTCGGCTTTGTCGAGGGAGGAGGACGGAGCATAGGAGTTGTCCTCCTCGTCCTCGCCTTCATAGTTCTGGCCGAGGAAGGTGGTGTCAAAGGGCGGCGGGACGTAGTTGATGCCGCAGAAGAATGCCCTCATGTCGTGGTGTTGGCGTTGCAGCGTCCAGTCCATCCTCTCTAGGTACTGGCCCATGCCATCCACGGTGATGGTTAGCCGATTCAGGGTATCGGCTATGGACTGTAAGGAGGCCTTGGCGGGAGCGGGGGCAGGAGCCCGACTGGGTCCTGCGCCGATTCTGTCACCGGACTTCTTCCGGAAGGTGCTGTCTTGGATGATCCAAATCTTCGTCATCTTCGTGTCCGGGCTGGCGATGTGGATGTCGGAGGCAACAATGAGATCCATGACGAGGAAGGCGTATGGCAAGCTCCGCTCGGTGGTGATGGAGGCGCAATCCACCATGTGAATCATGACGTATTTTGCCCAATTGATCGAGGCGCCATGGATGATAGCATGAACCGCCTTGGGATCCTTGTTGGAGAGAGAGGTGTGGCTACTGTCCCGGGGGCGAAGAATCCGGGTGAGGATGTAGAGTAGGAGACGCTTTTCCGGCGGGGCTGAGTGGATGGTTGGTGCGCCGCTGTGACGGATGAGGTTGGTGATTCCAAGCTCTTGGATGACCACCGCCTCGTTGTTGAGAATCCAATCATCGCCACCATATGTCGCGATGTCTTCACCGCGCGTGGGCAGCCCTGCAACCCGAGCAAAGGTAGCCAAATCAAACTCTAAGTCGTAGAGATTGATGCTACTGCGAATGGTATCCCCGTCCCGGTGGAGATTGGAGTATAAGGCCCGGACATAGGCGGGGTTGAAGGAGGTGCGGCTCTTGGAGACGAAGGGCCACAAACCCGACTCCTTGAGTTGATCGTCGAGGTCGTGGTATCCCTTCTGTTGAGGGAACAACTCGGGCAGCACCCTTGGCGGAGAGATACGGCGTTTGGCGAAGTGGGTGATGAATCGAGTAAGTTCTTCTTCCGAGCCAAATTCGAGGAAGGATCCATCCAGGTATGGAAATGGCTGGGGCGCAGAGGACGTTGCTTCGATGTCGGTCTTCTTCTTGGAGGCCTTGCTCTTAGATTTTCCTCCGGCCATAGCAGCGTTTATGAAGAAGAAAGAATGAAATTTGATTAGGAGATTGAATTTGGGATGTAAATTTGTGATTAGGAATGATAAAACAAGGTGTGTATATATAGGGAAGGGGTGGAAACCGGATTGAGTTCAAAAAATATGACTGTTGGGCATTAAATTCGTTGCCCAACGGTCAAAAAATTTTGAATCGCAGTAGGCTTCCCAGCGATGGGTAGAAGTTCCCATCGATGGGAAGGTCGCCACTGGAAAACGAAGGAGAAAACCGAACTGCCTTCCCAGCGATGTGTGGATTCTCCCATCGATGGGAAGGTGGATTCTGGAAAGTGAAGGTTAAAGAACGAAAGCCTTCCCGGCGATGTTAATACCATCCCATCGCTGGGTTGGTGATTTTGAGAAACCGATAAAACCTTAAAAAAAAGTGTCAAACACCCAGCGATGGGAGAAAGTTCCCATCGATGGGAGGGGAGGTTCTGAAAAAATTTTGACAAAAGTCCTTCACCCAGCAATGGGATGAAATACCCATCGATGGGTAAGGTGTCTCTGGAAATCCGTTAAAGGATTTAAAAAAAACTAGAGTCAATTACCCATCGATGGGAGAAGGTACCCTTTGATGGGAAGAGGGGTTCTGGAAAAGAGAAGACTTCCCTCCCAGCGATGGTATAGCCCACCCATCGATGGTTCCCCCTGACTTCCGGATTCCTTCACCTTGAACCGTCCCTGCAAAAAAGAGTTAGAAAACCCTCCGATGCTCAAGTTAGTAAACGTTTAATCAAAGATAATAGAGTGATAAAATGCACAAATTAGATCATCGTGGAGTCAAGGATTCCGAGTTCGCTACGAATACGGAAGAACGACTCTTTCACTAAAGGTTTTGTGAAAATGTCGGCTAATTGGTTGTGTGTTTCAACAAACTCAATTTCGACATCACCTTTGAGAACATGATATCTAATGAAATGGTGCCTAATGTCAATGTGTTTCGTCCTTGAGTGAAGAACGGGGTTCTTCGTCAAGCTAATGGCGCTAGTATTGTCACAACGAAGAGGAACGTGACTGATACTAAGGCCATAGTCCATGAGTTATTGCTTCATCCAAAGGATTTGAGCACAACAACTACCGGCGGCAACGTATTCTGCTTCGGTTGTGGATAACGCAACACTGACTTGTTTCTTACTAAACCATGAAACTAAAGAGCTGCCAAGTAAGTGGCAAGTCCCACTCGTACTTTTACGGTCCAATTTGCAACCGGCAAAGTCCGAGTCGGAATAGCCAACGAGATGACAAGAAGAACCTTTTGGATACCACAGTCCAACGTTAACCGTGCCGACAAGGTATTTCATGATCCCTTTCACCGCCGTTAAGTGCGATTCCTTCAGACACGATTGATACCTTGCGCTAAGGCATACGCTAAACATGATATCCGGCCTACTAGCGGTAAGATAGAGAAGGGATCCGATCATACCTCGATACTTTTTGACTTCTACTTCCTTACCTTTCTCGTCTTTGTCTAGATGGTCAGACGTGCTCATCGGGGTCGCCATGGCTTTGGCGTTGTCCATTTCAAATCGTTTTAGGAGCTCCTTGCAATATTTAGCTTGGAAAATGAACGTGCCATCTTTCATTTGCTTGACTTGGAGTCCCAAAAAGAATGTGATCTCGCCCATCATTGACATTTGAAATTCGCTAGTCATTAGCGTTGAGAATTCCTTGCACAAAGACTCATTAGTAGCACCGAATATAATATCGTCTACATAAACTTAAACCAAAAGGATGTTATTGTTTTTACTCTTGATAAAAAGTGTGGTGTCTACCTTTCCCCTTTGGAAACCACTATCCAAAAGAAATTTACTCAAACGTTCGTACCAAGCATGGGGTGCTTGTTTAAGACCATAGAGCGCTTTCTTGAGTTTGAAGACATGATCGGGAAACTCAAAGTCTTCAAACCCCGGGGGCTGGTCAACATACACTTCCTCTTGAATAAAACCATTGAGGAAGGCACTCTTAACATCCATTTGATAAAGTTTAAAATCCATAGACGAAGCAAAAGCAAGAAGTAAACGAATAGCTTCTAAACGTGCTACGGGTGCATAGGTTTCCTCAAAATCAATGCCTTCTTCTTGATTGTAGCCTTTAGCTACGAGCCTAGCTTTGTTTCTAGTGATTATTCCATTTTCATCAAGTTTGTTACGGAACACCCATTTCGTACCAATAATCGTACGATCATCGGGCCTTGGCACCAATTCCCAAAC